TTATTCAAGGGATCAAAAAGCTGAACTATATTAAATGATAAGTTAAAAAATATAAATTAAATGTTCAGGAGATCTCTAGGAACACCACTAATGCCCATTTTAGCAAATGTACAGATACTGCTAACTTTCAAATTACTGGAATCTGTTATGTATAGTCAACTACTGAAAACTGAATTACTTCATGTTAAACTAGTTTTATGACTTGCAGTTATAAGAAAAATGTGAATGCTTAATAATAAGTAGATGAATAATCTTAATTAGCAAACAGTAAAAACTAATTCTGCCAAGAAGCTGTTTTATGCTAGTCAGCATTCCTAGAATTACGTAACACCTGTTATTAGAATGATTAATTTTGTTATCTTCAGTTAGGAAAAATTATTTGGGAGAGAGAACTTTGCCTAATGCAATTACAAATTCAGGCTGCTCTTTTAAAGTAGATGGGAGAGATTCTGGCCCCAGCTTCCAATACCACACCTGGGGTAACCTATTGTGTGTCAGAGCACACATGGTATGGGCATTCCCTGGTGATGTGGTACAGGCATTCCTCAATGGTAAGCAGCAGTGGCACAAGGTATGCCACTGCTATTTGCCCTCAAGGAAACACACATTCCGGCTCATCTGGATTCATTCGTTGAGTGCAAATCAGTCAATGCTGCTTTAAACAGGTAAAGGGATATTGCCCTAACAAGAAGTAAACCCAGTGCACCAACTCCTCAGCCAGTTCTCTTCCAGCTCCAAACAACAATATGATTGGGAAAATAAAGGTGTGGCTACATGTCACTGTATTTTAGTGGTCTCTGGCTCTTCTAAAACACTCTTCTGACTACCATCACAGTTTCCCAGCTAGGGCTTCTCTAGGTAGTTCCTTAGGACCACATCCATGTAGAGATGACTTACAAACAGCTTCTACAGAACTGCACCAGGTGCGATGGATAGTATTTATAGGAAGTAATTTTGGCTGCTAATGTTACAGATCCAGATTCCCCCAGGCCAGTGCAAAGAAGCAGAATGTGCTTCCTCAAGGGTTATGTTAAGCTATGCTATACATTTAGTTTCTTTTGGAATCTCCTGACATAAAGGAGATGGAATAGGGGTAAGATTTTCACCCTGTGACTGACAATATTTTTTTACTGGGAACCCAATATAATGTAAGACTGCACATGAAACAAAAATAGTTAACTGCAGCTTACTAGTATCCAAGTACAAAATACAAATGCTTGATGCCACGTTTGATGCAAACACTGGTAGTATAATCATTGGTAGCTTTCTGGTTAAATAGAGAGTTTCTGTTCCCATGCTAATAGCTAGGCAAATGACAGCATACCTCCTTATTCTATTGGGGTAGAGGTGTTTGACTAACATGATAGAGGGACACTGGATGTGAGATTCAAAGTAACATCCCTATTGATTCATATACTATTGTGACAGATTATGTGCAGAAATGGTACATCCATTTCCCACTGGAACTTACAAGTAAGTGTGCCTCCATCCTCTATCCCTAAGGGAAGCAGCATTGACAGGGTACATTCAGAAAACCTCACAGAGACTGACTTTTGTGAATCCTTTGCCCAAAACCTGCAGGAATTTCTGTGCAAAACGTTTGGATCATGCATTAGTTATTGCATACTCTAAAGGAACTGCTCTTTGGAAGAATTTTAACACACGGAAATAGAGCTAACATCTGTAGATTTTATTCTACAGACTCAAAAAAGGAAAAATCCAGAGGCTGTATTCAGTAGGAAGCAGACATATAATGTTGCACCTGTTTGGCACTTCTCCCAGTATTAAGTACTACAATGAAAAGTGAGCACATAATAGACACAACAGCATGTCCGTCCATTGTAAACTAAAAGCATTGATTTACTTGGCACCTGAGTAAAGCCTATTAGTTTAAGGTTACTGCTGATGATGAAATAAAGATCTCTCTCAGGCTAGTGAATGAAAAAACTTTAAAACCAAGTGTTGCATACTACTGGCTGAATAAACTGGTAACAAGGACTATTTTCTTTCTCATTCCAATCATGTTGTGGCACTTCTGTCTCTTTTTGGCCAATAGATATATAATACATGAGTTGCCCAATGTCAACAAGTTTGTAGTACTCCGTTTCCAAAATGAATACAAATCAGGGACGTTCCTTTTGTGGCTGTTCAAATATTGTTAAAATATTCTTTATTTCACATATTTAAGAAGCAAAGAAGAATTCTCATTTTATGAAGCCATGAGAGAATTCAATAACATTACTATTTAAAATAGACTTTCTAAAATTCAATAACATTACTATTTTAAATAGACTTTCTAAGGTGTGGCTACACTTGGATAGCTCACAACCAACTTGCATGGTATGAGATAATTTTTCTTGCAGGATTTCTCTAGGTATTTCAGCGAGCTTCTCTAAACCTGTTACAAAGAATCGCTGAAAGAAAGACTAGAGCTGATAAAAATTTTGATATGAAGGGGGGCAAGTTCTTCAGGAAAACTTTCTGTTTCTGACTAGATCTTGTTCCTATGCCCTTTCTCAGTATTAGAGTCCATTCATTTCTGGTTCCCCCAAAAATGACTTGTTTGAGATGTGAAAGCTCAGCAACTCTGAAAATCATTCTATAAGTGCCTTAAATTAAACACCAGAAAATGAAAGCACTTGACAATTATTTCCTAAGTTACTTGCCCAAAGCTACACAAGGGGCCTGTGGCAGAATACAGATTTAATGTCAGGGTCTTCAGCCTGCCAGTCCTGTGCTTATTCTGTTTTACTAAACTGGCTCAAAATGATCTCTTAGCAGGAGGTATGATTTTTTGTTTTTAGAAATAGCCAATTCTTTGGAAGCTAACTCTGCTGTGGATTTTAAGTGGTGCTTGTTAGCATGAAAATGGTGCCTGAGATACGTTGGCAGCCCATAAGTAAGACGTATCTAAATAATAATGATTAATTATTGACATTGTCTTCTCTTATCCCCACCATATGTGGTCACCATGCAACAAGGCATAAAGCATAAACTCATGATTTAACCCAGAACTCTGATGGATATTTAGGGTACTGCTGTACTTATACTGTTAGCAGTTCTGTGTAGGCTAAGGGTTTAAAGTAGAAAAGTGAAGGTACATAAAATGTTTCCTCCTCTAACAAATGTCGACTTCCTATGGAGAAGGGTGATTGCGCCCAAAAGTTTGCAAAGGACTCTTTTCCAACTACTCGTTTGGTCTAATAAAAGATATCACGTCTACCCAAAGAACCTTGCCTGCCTATGTCACATACATAGGAATTTATATGAAGTTATTCAAACATTATATAGTTATTAAGATAGCTAAATTGTTTGTCACCACTGCTAAGTAAAGATTAGCAAACGTGAGTGTGCATCTCTGGTGGCTTGGTTCTTATGACATTTGATATATTTATAGATAGGCTAAGTTGTGCTGCTAAGCAATTTGGCATTTTCTAAAACTTCTGCATTTTTTAAACTTCCCTGATACCAATGAAAACTAAACCAAAACACACTTTCACTTCATTAAAAGGCAGCATGACAAACTAAATGAAAAAAAATCATGCCAGGTAACCAGTTGATTTTGCAAGATTTTCACTTTCCCGATAAAGTAAAAATTAAACTTGATAATCATGAATTTTTAAATGCCCTCTAATCACAGGATGTTTCGCAGGTGTATTACTGTTTGGGGTGTTTACTGGAGAGGAATTGATTTAGTTATGATGTGTTAATCTGACACACTTTCTATTCGAGATTGTTCCCAAAGATATTTTTCTCATTTCACTGTCTTTCAGACTCAGCCTTTCCCTCTTCTTTATCAGGTGGGACTCTATCCTTATTCTTTATCTCCCGGGGATCCTGATTTCAATAGTTTGTTGCATTTTAATTTCCTGCCCTAGGACTCGAAGAAAGACAGCTCGGAGCTGCTTGTCGGGAGATAAAAAAGCGCTCTCCCGTCTCATCTCGGAGCTCTAGTCCAAAGTTTCCGGTGACACAAGCCGTGCTGGTCCTTCCCGGGCCCTAGCGGGGGGGAGCCTGAATCATCGCGAATGGGAGTTTCATTACTACAGCGCTTTGAAATGACTGAGTGGGAACCGTGCCTGGCGCTGAATTGTAAAACAATCCGTCTCAAGACACTTGCACGACACTCCTGTCTATCGACCGAGCTTGAGCTATTTCTTTCGGTTGCTGTATCGATTGTCCTGTCCCTATCTAACAGCCTGCAAGAGACCAGTGCTCGCGGATGATGGAGCTATAATTTCACGCAGCCTCAAAGGAGCCCGCGGGCGCGTGTGCGGGCAGCCGGGACGCCCCGCTTCTCCCTGGGCAGGACGCGCGCCGCCCGTCCCCAGGGCCGCGGCTCCCGCACGTGCAAGCGGGGACGGCGCGAGTGGGCCCCGCACGAGTCCGGGGAGAGGCCGGGCACCCCCGCCCGCGGGGAGGCTGCGGAAACCCGCAGATGGAGGGCGGGGGAGGGGCTGGGAACTTGGGCCC